ACTTAATGAAAAAACATTTGTCTGTAGTGTTTTGGAAAGCTCTCGAGATAAGCTACAAGAATATGCATTGAAAAATGGGGGTTTCTATTTGAAAAATTGAACTTGACCTTGAAATGACCTTCAAAATAATAGTCAAGGTCAAAATTAATATCATCATTAAATAGATAGGGAAAAATCATAAAACTTTCGTATATAACATTTTTCCAAAAAATGCAATCTCGCTGAGTTATTTGACCGTTCCGGAACTTTTTCCCATCACTGTATATATATATATATATATATATATATATATATATATATATATATATATATATATATAAATGTAAATAATAATAAAACAATTCTGAGAATTTTGATATGTAAAGAATTTTGTACTAATATAAAATGGTTTTTTTACAAACATAATATATTGATACGTCCGGTGGACTCCACGATTCTTTTCTTTCTTCGAAACGCTATCGTAGAAGTAATTAAAGATAGGTTCGAATTTGAAATAAGCAATCCTTCCTCAGAATAATAGCGCATAGGAAAACGGAACTTAACTCGTGTAAATAACCAGTTAATCTAATACTGAGAATGGCCAGTCGAGATAGCGCTATAGAAATTCTAAATAAACTTTTGAATTATGAGACTCGAATTTATAAGAAATTCTTTCCAAGAAAGAATTCCTTTCCCCTTCTTCTTTATAAGAAATTCGAACCACCCGTATCTATTGCTATAACATACTCTCGAAACCACTTTGTCTTAGGGATTTTAAACAAAGATCCTGTGGTCCTCGAGAAATTGACAAAAGATAAACATAAAACAAATCCTCTGAAACTAATACTGCACATGCGTTCGACAGGCCACCCTCAAGCGTTCTCCGCATCATCAAATCGTTAAGCGATAAGATAATCAGCTCGCTCCCACTCTCTACTGGATGGAGCTAAATCTCGAGCCAAAGGACTTAACTAATAAAAATCTTAAGAAACGCCTCTCCTCCCAAAAATCAGCTTCTTTATCCTTAAGAAGGGAGTATTGAAATTATTACAAAAAGATTCTCACCATCCAGTAAGGAGGAGGAACAACAACTTTAAAAAATGCATGCGCAAGGCGCGAGCGTTCACTAGTTCACTAAGAGTTCACTAATAAGCATTAACTAGCACTATAAGCAGTACAGTTGACAGCTCCAGTCAAGAATCAGTCATTCAATTTTAAAATTATATAGCCTCGGGGATCCTTTTCTTGCATTATATAATTTCTTGCATTAATTAAGTTATTAATTTGTTTTATATCACAGTGAAAATGATTTTGTTAATATTTAATTATGCATCATGTGAAATTTCTGATGAACATCTCCATTACTCGGCTCTTCATGTTATAAACCTCCGACTTCAGCCATTGCAATTTTATCATTGCACTTATTTTTGTGATCCCAACGAGTTGTGAGTAAATTTGAATAATTTTTATTTTCTCTCTTTTCCAATTTTAAAATATTTTACTATCTCATAATTCAAAATCTATGTCTGACAAATAATTTTAAACAGTTCATAATCATTTTTACCAATTACTATCAATCAATCAATCCTTGTCTCACCTCTCCTCCAGTCTTATTCCTAGTTCTCCCTAATTCGCCTAGAATCTCCGCAAGGCGGTTCGCGAATAATTTCCCGTTCGTCGAGAATCTCCGTAAGGCGGTATACGAACAATTTCTTAATTTTCATTTCCTTTTAGTTGCCTTTTCTAATTTATTTACCAAGAATTCGTATTGTTTTCTATCTTTATATTTCGTTTAAGCCCTTCTTTACATATATTTAACTTTTCATTTCTATTTTTTTTTCTTCTTTACTCCCTTTCATTTTCTTTTAATTTCCCATTCCTTGCATTATTATTATTATTTTTCCTTTTTTTTCTTTCTTCCTCTTTATATTAGTTTCCTTTGTATTATCACTACTTTGGGAGAAATCATTGAAATAGATAAATAATTTTCGAACTTAGACTTGGCGAATCTTTTATCTTAATTTTATTATTGTATTTTAATTTGGACCTGTGTTTCGCCGAATTTAGAAAATTTTAATTCTAACTATAACACATACTCGAGAATATATACATACACGCACACATACTCACTCATGCATAACTACAACTGCTAAGATGTATTTTTCTTTCCTTATTTTTTTTATATAACATATGTATTTTTAAATTTGATGTAGAATTTAATTATTTAACCCGTTCTCTTCCCTAAACCCTGAGATCGTACTAGGTCCTATCCCGCGTAACAAGGATTAAATTCCTTTACCGAAAAGGGACTATCGAATGAATAGGCGTAAAAACGCAGAGTTAAAGAGACTTTCGGTCGCTGACCTGTCAGGCCCTTCACATTCGTTCGATCCAATCCATACACACGCCCGAATAAAGTGTGTCACGGGGTAAGTAAGTTACGTTCTTCCACACAGCTTATCCCTTCAGGGTCTGGACGTAACAATATGTACTACAATATATATACTTGAAATTATATATATATATATATATATATATATATATATATATATAAATAAAGATAAAAATTTTTTATTGCATATTTACCAGCTTGTTGTAAGTTGAGAATAATCCATTCATATTTAGTAAAAAAGATTGGGATTTTTGAATGCAATGGTGTTAACCATAAATTCGTCCAAGTTACTTTAAAATTGAGTTCCGAGTCTGTAGTATAAGTAATAGGTATATAATATTGTTTCTCTAATTTGTTGTAAAATTCTATTAATATGGATGGAAGAGCAGTAGCATTATTTGGTGTTACTTTCAACACGATAGTACACTTCTGCATAATCCACGAATCTATCATGTCTTTTATATTAATATTAAAATCATACATGGAATTCAATTCCATCACAGATCTCATAGCAGTCCATAAAACAGGAGAAGTTGTTGCTCCAGGATCATCTAATCTATAAGTTTAACATTATGATAATTTTGTGCTAACTTGTCACTGACATGTCCTCCTTCAAGCCATATAACTATTGTCTGAAACATTTTTGTCTTAAACTTATGGATTTTGAGATATTTCAGTGTGTAGATTAAAATGGCCTACCATGTATATATATATATATATATATATATATATATATATATATATTATTTTTATAACATATACAAAAATAATGAAAATATGTATACATATATGTAATATATATTTTTTAGTATATATATTTTAATAAAAATATTTTATTTATTATTATGTATATATTTTTATTTAATATACATTAATATATTCATTAATAACTATGTTAGCATTTGTCGTGACTAAATAAATAATAAATTAATTTTTATATTACAAAAGTTTTGGAGTGTTTATATTCTGTTTACGTTTGTAAAACTACATTTACAAAATCATTCAATTTGAATTATTTGTTATTTAGAAAATATGAATATTTATTATACAGGATGGCAGGGAATTTTTGATTTTAACGAAGTAAGGAGGTAGATTGGCTCAAATTAAAAAGGAAGGACCTCTATTGTTTTGTGATTGTCGCAATAATTAACGAAAAATTAAATAAAAAAGGTCGGCCAATGCGCGTGACTAGAAGCACACGACGGCGAAGACGGTCTGACTGTAATGGCGGCGCGCGACGAAGCGATGATTGGGAAGGAGAGGAGTCTTCGCCACGCGCTTATACTCATTGCTCCTCGTTGTACAATATCGGTCAAAAATATATCATCTTTTTTGAAGATAATTTAATTCAAAGTATATATATTTAATTAATATTTCTTAAGTCTCTATGTCCATTATTGAATGAAAAGTCTATTGTTCAGTAATCTATATATCTACTATTAAAACATGTGACTAGATAAAAATATATACACTTTGAATTAAGTTATTTACTTTGAGTTAAGTTATTCTCAAAAAACATAAAGGTGATACATTTTTGGGCGGTACTATATATTATTACATTACAATATGTTATGCTTACTGATTATTCAAATATTTGATCAATCCTCTTGAAAATAAATGAAGGAATGTTCGTGCTAACATGCGCCATGTAACAGATCCTATAATGTTTAAAAGAAAAAAATTTAATACATTTAAAATCTCTTTACTAATATGTGCAATAAAAGTTAGTGAATATGTAAATAATAAAACTAAATATATCACACACAAAATTTGTACAATTAAATCAAAGTAAGCAGCTATGCAAAATTGTTAAATACATTTTAACGAAAAAATTTGTAATAATAAATAAATAATAAATGATTAAAAATTTATTAAAAATAATAAATTAGACAATTATAAGGAATCAGTTAATTTTATATTTTATTATGATTTTTTGAAATCTCAGACAAACATGTATAGTTATAATTTTAAAAAAATTACACATTATAAAATTATCCAAAAATTATATAAAAATTTACTTTTAATATTACATATTATTACATTATTGCAAATATTATAAAAAAATATATTAAATTTTACAAATGAAGGGCCTTGCATGATTCTTTCTGTGGAAATTAAATTTCGTAGAAATTTGAATTTTGATTAAATTTGCTGAATTTTGGAAATAAATAGTTTAAGTGAAAGCACAATAAAAATTTAAAAAATGTCAAAATAAATGTCATAAGGTTAATAAACGTCATAAGGTTAATTTCGTCAGTACAAGTATTCAAATATCGAAATAAGACGTTATTTCAATATTATTAAGGAAAAGTAAATAATATAGTAAGTAATAATATATCAAATAAGGTAAATTATATATTAGAATGTGACACACAGTTGATCATTTTTATTAAGACATTTTACTAATATATTTACATGGAAAAAATGTGCGTGTAACAGCATCGATGCTGTTGTCGCCATAACATGTTATTTGATATTTGATAAAATTAGTTAAAAGTATAGTTATTATATACTTAGTACTTATTTAAATTTCTTTCATTGGATTTTTGAAATTTTAGAGACTTGGGTTTTTATCATTTCTAATAATTAAAAAATAAAACAGAATATTTGCACAAATATTTAACAATTATCTGCATTGCTAAACGGTTAATCATTTGACTGCGTATTCAAATAGTAATAACATTATTAACAAAATATCCTTTTCGATAATTTGTGCTGAATAAAATATATTAAATCCTTCGTTTAACAATATATGAGGCCATAAGTAAGTTGGTCTGAACAGATTTCTAATGTATTTTTGTATCATCCCACGTGCAATTAAGCGCGCAATTATCGTTTTGTATGCGACAGGATCTAATTCTTCATTATAAGTGATATCTGCTTCTCTAAAAATAATTATACTAATATGTATAAAAAATTGTAGATATTAATATAATTTCTTATGTAAATAGATTACAATTTAATATGTAATTAAAACAGTTTTTAAAATATATTTATATTTTTAATTATATATATTACCGATAAAAAATGAAACCAAAAGTCTGTTCAATTTCATTTTGTAAATCCGGAATTATGACATGATCTATTTTGTTTTCTAATGAAACAGAGGTTAGCGGCGCAAGTTCTTTGTTCCAAATATTCCATCTATGCATGTATACATTGGTGGAAGAAATAACAGTTTTCGCAAATTCTAAATGCGGTTCCGATTGTGGTCTGTACGTTATGGACGAACAAATTGTTTCATTATCCGAGAGGATGACGTGACGAAAACTGGATACCAGAAATGCTACTCTATCTATGGAGATTAAAGGAGTGACGTTAAAAAATGTCCACATCATTATATCGTCCGTCAATTCAATATCTCGTATCGGCATATTTGACCAAACTTCGTATTTTGGATAATGTATTATGGAAATAATAAAAGTAATTCTTAATTCTGGCTTGTCCCAATATGGAAACATTTGCTGTTTTTTCGTTTGATACTTGTTTCTTCGCTGGATTCCTGTTGCGATTAACCACCTACCGTATTTTAATGATATATTTTAGATAATGACTAATTTTAGGTAATTGTAAGCGTAGAATGCACAAATGTACAATTTGTTTTTGATATTTCATATATTCTTCTACTTACTCTATTTCTTCATCTTCGTTTGTGTACGGAGTTCCGAAAGATTCCCTTACGATATAAATTGAGATCATGTATTCTATATACAAATCGTATATTCCATGAAACGAGACATCACCGAAATCGAGCACGACAATATTGTTTTTAGTAATATTTGTGTGAATTGTTTCATAAACCGTACCATTATTTTGATTTAATGTAAGATTTAAGAACACTATAAATGTTGCATCCGGTACATAAAATCTTATGTATCGTTTTGCATAAGAAATATTTAAAGTGATTATGCATACGCTATGAAGATAATCAGTGCCTAACATTATCTTTATATTATAATGTATTGGAAACATATAATCTGATATATTGCTTGATTTATTGTTTAATACACTGGGCATTGCGATTTTCGATTCTTCATCGGTTTCTACTCCTTTGATTTTTGATTCTTCATTAGCGATAGGAGTCGCTATTGCCATTATGGTTATGTATATTATACTACTATTTAATAATAGTTTTAAGAATGTCATGTTAAATTTCGTCCGGATATCTATAAAAAACGTTCTTGCTTTAAAAACAAAGTTTGCTTACAAAGAGTATGCGATTCAATCAACTTTTGTGTTAAAAAAACGTTAAAGAGAATTTACTATCGTTTCATAAGAAGATACGGTTAATTAAAAAAAATTAAAATAATATGGTTTAATAAATAAAGAAAAATTAATAGAAAAGATAAACGTAAAACTTATTGAAACGACATATAAAATATTTTTCTCGGATTTGAATATTAGGAGACATAAGGAATGTATTTATATAATTCCAGTAGGATAAGCACAATAAACGTAAGTTTTACTTATCTCAATTTAGTTATGTTTAAGATTTTTTCTAGTGCAATTACATAATTCAGTATATACAGGGTGACCCATTTTAACTTAGGCAGCCAAATAACTCGAAAAATAAGCACACTACGAAAAAATAGTTAGAATCAAAATTTCGTCATTTCGAGGGGGACGTACAATGACGTTAAAATCAGCCCCCCCCTCCCCCTGGGCGGTGAGGGGGGGCAAGTTTGAAATCTTAAATGGGAACCCCTATTTTTTATTGCATATTCGGAATCTTTGGCTAAAAACACATACAATTTGTCTGAAACATTTTTCTCGATTCATGACAGATGGCGCTGTAATCGACGAAATTCAATTTCTTCGATTTCTCTTACTGAGAACCCATGCTTACGATTCTGCAATAAACATTGAAATATATACCATACTGGAAGGCGCACAGGCTACCCCCTCCATTCGTCAAGACGGTCAGACAAGGCAGTGACTCGGTACCGGATTTCTCTTTCTATCTCGTCTACTATCTTAGCTGAAAACATTCGCCTTGCGCACACATATATACATATAGGACAATTTATACATACATGTTATATATTAACAATTTTTATTAAACAATATACATTGTTTTTATTAAATAATTTTATAATGTAAAAATAAATTTTAACATATAAATTTTATAATTATCCAACAATTTCATTTTAAAGCATAAAATTTTCTTTTTATGAAGGCGAATGTTTGTAGAACTAATAGTAGCTGTGAACACGTGACCGAGACTGTTGGTTAGATAGAGAGATCCGGGTCCGAACAGCTATCTCCATCTGACCGGTCGAGAACAAAGGCGTGCTTATTCCAGTATGGTATATATTTCAATGGCAATAAATTAACAATAAAAATACTACGTTTTCATTGTTAATACTCGAAATTAGTCTTAAAACAAACTTCTCATTATTTTTTATTACTCATTAATTACTTCTCAAGAAACTGCTTTTAGCGTAACCTGCCCTTTAGGCAACTTGAATGGTCCGAAGTACCGAGACATTTTGGACTTTCCATCTGATGGAGTTCCTCTAAGTATCCCTCCAAAATTTTGTTCATTTAGTGCCAAAGTCACAAGTGTTTATGTATTTTTTTAACATTTGTACTCTGATAAAATTCTGGTAAAATGGCAAATTATACGCCTACAGAAGTAGTCGATATTCTTATAACCTTTGGTGAATGTGGTAGAAATTACAGACTTACTGCCCGTACTTATGCGGAGCGATTCCCAAATCGCCGCCATCCTACTGATCAACAAATTATAAACATTGAAAGGAGATCTCGTAATAATCCACTTAATCGCGAAAGGCGAAGGAATAGACTTCATAATAATAATGACCCTAGATTGCTTGCAGTTTTGGCTATGGTTCATCAAAATCCCCATATTAGTACCCGTCAAATAGAACGAGAACTGGAAATCCCTCAAACTACGGCACATAGAAAGCGAAAGCAAGGAAAAGAAACAGAAATTAAAATTTTTTACTTTTTTATATTTCAATGATATTTCAAAATTTTATATTCTTTAATATATATTCTAAGATAAAAGAGAATGCGAAAGTTTAAATATTTTTATCTGATCTTACTATGTAATAAAGCTGTTAATAAAGCAATATGGTTTCTTGCAAAATGATATAGGATTTTTTAGTTTAGTTTAGTGAGACTACTCATGGTTTTACTTTATTGCAAGATACCAGAAATACTTTATATATTCATGTAACTGTGTAAAATAAACACACGTAAGTATATAATCAACATCTATGTATTAAATTTGTAATACAGAAAAGTAATACAATATAACATGTAATATAATATAATATTAAAAATATTCATAATATGAATTATATTGTAATATAATATAATATTTTTATAAAATATTATATAATACAATATTTTTATACAATATTTTTAATATTATATTGTATAATTAATATTATATTGGTTAAATACAATTAATATTTAATTAAATAATTAAACTAAATTATTATCTTTTATATGACATTAGTGAATAATTAAGTATATACATTTATAAATATTATCACAATCATTTATGTTGTATTTATAATGCCTAAACACTCAATATCTTAGAAATCTAGTTATTCAATTATGTGAATAAAGACCGTGAATATGTGAATAAAGACATTTATTATATGTGAATAAAGACATTTATTAAATAAATTATTATTTTTTATATGACATTAGTGAATAATTAAGTATATACATTTATAAATATTATCACAATCATTTATGTTGTATTTATAATGCCTAAACACTCAGTATCTTAGAAATCTAGTTATTCAATTATGTGAATAAAGACCGAAAATATTTTATCTGTTTCTCGATCTCCGACAAGCGTGTTTCTAGCTTGTATTCAGCATTAGGAATGATTGAATTTTCCAGTTTCTTTTTTACAAATTTCTTTATCTGAAATGGATTATTTTAATAATTGTTATCAATAAATGATTTCGGATTTAATAATTGCACTATCACAGAAAAATACAGAGTATAATTATGAACAGAATTATAGAAAAATATTATATAAAATAGAAATTTGATTTATTTAAAATTTACCTTGCCCAACTGTTCCTTAGTATACACATTGTTAATTATAACAATTAATGTTACAATATCACTGACCCTCCTATAAAGAATATTAATACAATATCATAATTAATTTGTACAATAAATCTTCACATCTATGTGTAGCATATCTTGATTAAATAATATCGTCACCTGTGTCTTATTGTTTCGTAATTAATTAATAAACTTGTAAGCATGTACTTAGTATTTCTCTCAAGAACAGAAAGGAAAATATTAGCAGTTAAGGCATAAGTTCGCTCTATCGATTCAAATGGAAGATAAGATACATTATACGAAGGTTTAAATAAAATTTCTGATATTCTTATTTCTAAATAATTGATTATAATTTCAAAATTTTTACTGTAAGCCAGACATTCTAACATTGTATCATTTGCTTCCATGCAATTAGTAAAAACTTTATTCCATGTATAATGATCTGCCGTTTTCAAACCATTACAATATGTCCACTTCTTCCAGCCAGGCAAAAGTCTACAGAAGATAGTCCAAAAAAGAAGTAAAAATCTTGTAACGAAATTGTGTTAATAGTTTCTTTAGTGTTTTATAAATAATTTTTTGATATAAGTGATAATTAATTTCCCAATCATATGGAAAATATAAAAAATGTTCTTATAAAAAGAATCGAATATTTTGAATATTATGAAAAGAATTACTTGTTTTCTTCAGGATTTGCTAGATGCCATTTCAAATGACTCTTAGATTTTTCTTCGCAAGGCTGTTCATTTATAATACATTCCCACTTTGCAAGTTCTTGTTTCAAACATTTAGTATAATCATTGACGTTATTTTCGTCATCTAAATTCTCGTATTTAGATGTAATATTCTGCATAAAATCAAACTTTAGCACGCCCTAAAAATTGATAAATATTATTATATTTAAGTTTATTCATATTTAGTTTATTCATTATTCACAAGAACACATATAATGTACGCGCAAATAAACATTTTTCCTAGATAATTTTGTTTTCTGTTTCTTTAATATTTATGCGACTTTACAGCATCAATATTATAATAACCAGATTTATTAGAATTTCTTATTTGTGTGTGAATAATTGTGTATGTATTTTATTATTTATATAGGTATGGATTTTATATCATCTAATGAATTTTTAACACATATATATATCCATATACAAAGTGTTTCATAAGTTTGTGCTAACGCACGTGAGTGGATAAAACGCAAAAAACTCAACACAAAGGTCCTTTACCATTTTGCAATTTTCGCAATAATTTATTGAAATATTAATTAAAAATGTGAATAAACGCGCGTTTCGCGAGGCTAGATTGTAAAATATGCGCGTAGGTGTATCAGCGGCGAGTGTCGCATAGTCATGAAGAAAGAAGAGTCGAGGTACGCGCGATCAAAATTTACGAGATACTCTGTATATATATTTAAGCCTGTGCATAG